GATTATTGTTAAAATCCGTCAGAGAAACTAATCCTAATCATCCTCCTGCATGGATTGCATCTGCGCGTCTAGAAGAGGTGACTGGAAAGGTTCAAGCAGCAAGAAACTTAATAATGAAAGGATGCGAAGTTAATCCTACTTCTGAAGATCTGTGGTTAGAAGCTGCAAGACTGCAGCCACCAGACACAGCAAAAGCAGTAATAGCACAATCGGTGCGTCATATTCCGACATCCGTGAGAATTTGGATAAAGGCCGCGGATTTAGAAACGGAAGTAAAAGCTAAGCGAAGAGTATATCGAAAGGCACTAGAACATATCCCGAATTCGGTCCGACTGTGGAAAGCGGCTGTTGAGTTAGAAGAGCCCGAGGATGCACGAATCTTGCTCAGTCGTGCGGTCGAATGTTGTCCGACTAGTGTAGATTTGTGGCTTGCTCTTGCTAGATTGGAAACTTACGATAATGCAAGAAAAGTCTTAAACAAAGCTAGAGAGAATATCCCAACCGATAGACAAATTTGGACTACTGCTGCAAAATTGGAAGAAGCAAATGGCAATAAACATATGGTGGAGAAGATTATCGAACGCGCTATATCCTCGTTAAGTGCGAATGGAGTAGAGATCAATAGAGAACATTGGTTTAAAGAAGCTATGGAAGCTGAAAAAGCAGGGGCAGTGCACTGTTGTCAAGTTATTGTTAAAGCTATTATTGGTTTTGGAGTAGAAGAAGAGGATAGAAAACATACTTGGATGGAAGATGCTGAAGCTGTGAGACTAATAATTTTCTATATAATTTTGTAATTTCCTATATAAACAAATGATATATATGAAATGAATATATATATATTTAAAAATATTGCTTACAGTGCGCTCAACAAGGAGCATTGGAATGTGCCAGAGCTGTCTATGCTTATGCATTAACAACATTTCCTAGTAAGAAATCAATTTGGCTACGTGCAGCTTACTTTGAAAAGACATATGGCACACGGGAATCTTTGGAAACTTTATTACAAAGAGCAGTCGCTCATTGTCCCAAGAGCGAAGTGCTTTGGTTGATGGGTGCAAAATCAAAATGGTTAGCTGTAAGTAGATTCACTATAATTTATAACATTTATGACGTTTGTAACATTTATTTCTCTTATTTATCATATCTTTTTATCTGCAATTCCATTGCTTTCAGGGCGATGTACCAGCAGCTAGAGGTATTTTATCTCTCGCGTTTCAAGCTAATCCAAATTCCGAAGAAATTTGGTTGGCAGCTGTGAAGCTCGAATCTGAAAACTCAGAATATGAGAGAGCGCGACGTTTATTGGCAAAAGCCAGAGCATCCGCTCCAACGCCTAGAGTGATGATGAAAAGCGCCAAGTTGGAATGGGCTCTTAATAATCTTGACGCAGCATTACATCTATTAAAGGAAGCTCTCGAAGCCTTTGACGACTTCCCCAAACTGTGGCTAATGAAAGGTCAAATTGAAGAACAACAAGGATATTTAGACAAAGCAATAGATACATATAATCTAGCGGTAAAAATGCTTTTTTCTAACGATTTTTTTCTAATATAATGCGAATGCAAATAAAATTATGTATCTTTTTTTATACATTGTAGATCAAGAAATGTCCAAATTCGATACCTTTGTGGTGTCTGCTGGCACGATTGGAGCACAGGAAAAATCAAGTGACTAAAGCGCGTTCAGTTTTAGAAAAAGCAAGACTTAAGAATCCTAAAAATGCGGAGTTATGGCTGGAAGCTATACGGAATGAATTAAAAAAAGGTGGTGCGCGCGATATGGCAAATACATTAATGGCTAAGGCATTACAAGAATGTTCCACATCTGGACTGCTCTGGGCAGAAGCAATTTTTATGGAACCTCGACCTCAACGGAAAACGAAAAGTATCGATGCCACTAAAAAATGCGAACATGATCCTTACGTTCTTTTGGCAGTATCAAAGTAAGTGTTCTTTTAAATTTTAGAATATTAAAATATCAAGTCATTATGTAGAATATAAAGTTAAGTATTTTTTATTCAAAATAATTGAGTTTCCCCTTCCTTTCCTCTTTTTGTCTCTTCTACTCCTTCCTTTTTTCCTTTCTCTTTTTTTCTTTTTAAAATAATGCAAACATTGTATGGATATTTCCATTACAGATTATTTTGGTGCGAGCACAAGATTTCAAAGTGTAGAGATTGGTTTAATAGGACGGTGAAAATAGATTCAGATTTAGGCGATGCATGGGCGTATTTTTACAAATTTGAATTACTGAATGGTACAGAAGAACAGCAAGAAGATGTAAAAAAGAGATGTATAGCCGCAGAACCTCATCATGGCGAAAATTGGTGCAAAATTTCCAAAAATATAACAAATTGGTGTCTGAGTACAGACCAAATCTTAGTACTAGTTGCAAAAGAATTACCCATTCCTATATAAAACATACAAAAATTATCGTGGTATCAGAACGCAGATATTATAAACTTAACTAATATGTAAGTGTATAAATAAATCTGAAAAAACTCTGATTTCATATTCTCGTTTTTTTTAATAGAGAAGATATTTATGTATATAACATTACAACCATTGGGCAAATTAGATATTTCGGAAAAAAAATTACATGATTATTATTAGTTTACAAAATTCAATATAATATATAATATCACAATTTCTTAATCATAATTTTCTTAATTTTGATTCTAAAATTGTTTTACTGATTGTTTTTCAAATAAATATTTTTTTATCTACTTTTACAAATTTAAAAATCCTTCCCCTCTTCCTCATAATTAAAGTATAAGCGATAATGTATTCCAAACTGGTTATATTAAAAATGAAAAAAGTTGGAAAAACAGTTTTATTATCGACTTCTGATAGCAACTTGCAATAATATATGCTTTATATACAAATTTTGTACTTTTTATACATATATAAAATAATGATGGATTAGAGATTATATGAACAAACAATATTTGTCGCATTCAGCAACTCAATTGTTGCAGAGTACATTCGTGAATGTTCGCTACTACTGGTGTATTCTTTTAGATTATCCAATAGCAATGAGCGCTCATGGATCCACTTCACAACAGTTGAGTGCTGAATGCGATCATTGTATTCTTAGGATTAGCTTAGACACCTAATATAAAAAATTAATTACTTATAAAATGTATACACATATATGCGTGCGATATTGATATAGTAATGTGCATTGATATATTACTGACATAAATTGTAGTTTGAAAGTCCTATCGAATTGGTAAGTCCGTATCTACAATAAATATTTTAAGCCTTAAGAAATTGATAATCGAATGCGAAGAGAATAATTGAAGATCCATTCATCCATATTTTATGGCTTAAGACTTAAAAGACTTACAGATGGATTCAGTTCCTAGAGCATTATGTTAACAAATATATAAAGATGCGTTTCGCGAGTTTTTTCCGTGTTCAGATCCATTCTTGGAATGTTAACGTTTCGTGAATCTTGCAGTCCACTTCATTAGGACGAGGAACAGCCTGATAGTATCGAAATGTTGGTGTTCCAAGAATGAACACGAAAAAAATCCGCGAAACGTATCTTTATATAGAAAACATCCGTGAAAGCCTCAAAAAAGTTAACAAATATATTTCCTAGAAATTTGTTAACTATAAACAGATAACTATAAACAGATAGATCTCCAGGAAATATATTTGTTAACTCTAAGAACGTCTATTATTTTTGCTTTCAATTGCCTGTCAATTTATATTTATGAAATATGTTTGCTATCTCGAGAGTTTGCTGTCTCAATTTAATTTATCTTATTTATATATTTTAGGTTTAGAATTCAAGCTTAAAGCTTGAAGCCTTAAAACTCCTGAGTAATCGCTGCGGCCATAGTGAAGAATGTTAGAAGGAATAGAAATGCCATGTTAATTTTTATTATAAATTTAATTTGTGACTGATTATTAGAGAGACAAAGATAGTCTCATTTTAAGTATTTTAAAGCGATTTCAATTTGTTTTATCCAAATTATCTTTATTTACAAGTAGCAACAAAAATTGTGTTATTTCTCGTTTCTGACGCATTCAGTTCAATCGCGGCGACTATTCAGGAGCCTTAATAATTTAACAATTACTTCTAAATATTTATATAATTTTTTTTTATTAAAAGACTATTAAAACGACTTTTATTAAAAAATATTTCTTTATTTAATATTTTATTCACTCTTTAATTTAATAAAAACTTTGATGACATGAAATGTCATAAAATTTGTTATATAAAAAAAAATTTGTCTCTTATAATTTGTAAATTTCCATGAAATATAAAGAAATTGTATTTTTTTTCTATTGTAAAATATAATGTATCATCTATGATTTAAATACGATCTAAAATTTGTGTTTTCATGGAATAAGTGTTTAGATACTTTTGAAATTCTTTATTAAGATAATTTTTTATAAAAACTTATAACTCTGATGATGTTGTCAAAGTCTTTCTCAAAGTTCTTTTCCCATTATTATGTACATTAATTAGTATAAATATATGTTTTCATATAATAAGAAGCCTTTATTCTGTTTTATTTTTAATAGAAAATAAGAAAAATAATAATAAACCTAATATTCTGATTTGAATACTGATATAGGTAAAATTAATAGTAAAGACAGAAATAAAGATAAAAAATCTGAAAAGAAGAGAAGATGTATTATTAATGAGAGTAAGATCGTTAGTTATTATACAAGATGATAATATTTATAATAACAGCGATATTGATGAAGAAAATGATAATTTTGGCGGTGATGTTTATAACTTATGTAATAGAGTTTTTTCTAAATAAAAAGCTGTCAATTATAAAATATTTGAAAATATCATTTATTTCATAATAACAGACTTTATTTTTATAATAACAGACTTTAATTGATGCGAACATATCAACTTGAAATTCAGACCTTCAAATTTTATCCATGTTTGCTGTCTATCATGAGAAAAATTTTATACATTAAACTTTTTATAGATTTTATTATGTCTGTCACATACATTAAACAATAAAAATGGAGGGCAAAGAAAATAAACCAGGAATTTTAAGTTGTCTTATAAAGGGTAAATTTGATAATATTATCCGACAGATTTTATACCATGAACAGAACAAAGTGAATCTTATACAGATTTTTTGTCACTGGAAATGAATTCATAAATGAATTGTTCTGTTGAAATGAATTGTTGAATTATTATATAACATTTTTAAGATACTTTCAAAGTATTAAAAAATGCTATTTTTAGCACTTTTAGATTCAATTCTTCAAAAACGTGACATGATAAAACAATTTTATTTACGGATTCATTCTCAGTGACAAAAAGTCTGTAAGTATTTTATCCCGTTCATATCTAGAAAAATTTAAATTTATCGGACAGTATAAGTAGTATAAGAGTATAACTATTTATGTATGTACTCACATAAATAATCTTCTTTCTAATCTTATTATAATTATTTATTTTTAATAATACAAACATCGTATAAACTATTGATCTTACATTATATATTAATATAGATTTGTGACTACAGGTCCTGGTCCAGTTTATAAATTACCAACGTTAGTTGGCTACAATGGTCATGATCCATCTCGATATAGAAATCCAGCATATAGCATACGAGCTCGAACTGATATAAAGACATCTGTAATAGGGCCTGGTCCTCATTACAATATCAGAAATTTAACAAAATCTGGGTCAGATAATCCACCTGCTTACACAATCAGAGGAAGGAAAGTTTGGAGTAGTGAGTATAAAATAGTGCTTTCCTAATTTGAAGCTTAGAAAAATAATATTAATACATAATATGGCGATGAAGGTATGTCGCCAATTGTGGCGGTGTATATTATGGCGATGCATCGTGTATGGAATACGCATCGCATTCGCTTAGCGTGTTCGTGGATTACATACCGGCCATCACCTTCGACCTCACTGTTGCCAGTAGCGCAGTTCGCTCGCAGTAGTCGCAGGTTGGTTCCATGTGAATGTCGAGACGTAGATATGATGCTCTTTACAGACTTATGTACAATGATTGAGGTCTGAAAAGGGCTTGAGATACTTTTACTCGTATTCATAGTCAGGCCTTATATTTAAGGCTTCCTTAAATTTGTCTTTAGATACTCTACGAATTATTTAATTGGCTGCTGAGCATCTAAAGATAAATTTAAGGAAGCCTTAAGTACAAGGTCTGACTATAAATATGGGCATTTGTGTGGTCCTTGAAAGGCTGTTTATAATGCGCTGTCTACCGCAATGTGATTGGCAGCTGGCATCCACTTAGCGAGGTCTAGAGAGCTCGTTGCTGTTACCATCAACCTCTTCTGATTAGCTTAGTAGATGGTAGTCGGAAGGCAACTCTTTCGCCAGGTCGGCGAAAGACTCCAGTGGCATATGCAGCGAGAGCTCCACTGGTCTCTGCTTCTGCGACGTCTCCCATTCGTCTTGTTCGACGTCTGCATGCCGAAGCAGCGTCACAGGCAGTGGCGAGAGGATAGTCGGAATGGCGCTGTAATTCGGCGACGTGTATCTCCGAAGCCGGCAATCCCACGTGCTGAGCAGTATCCTCAGCGGCCGCATCATTCGCTGACGCTGCGATGATACGTCGAGCGGGATGAGTCTCCATCTCGCTAGCAATGAAGTCACTAGCATCTATTGCTTCCGTTGATTGGCCACGCCTGCCGATTGCTGCCACTCCTTTGCGAAGCCATTGCTTCGCTGTTGATTGGCGTCCGCGCTGCGCCTCCTGGTAGGTCGCGGTGTCGCTGCAGCACTGCTGGTCAGCTGCTGCTGCTGCTGCTGAGCAGCATTTTCACTGATCGACTTCTGCTGGTCAGCTGCTGCTGATGGGCTATGCCTCCGCTATTGTCTGGCTGCTGCTGAGCGGCACCTCTGCTATTCAGCTGCAGCGATCGCTGCGGCAATCTTGCCGGTAGCACTATATATAGTAGCGCAACTCTTCTGATTTTATGTTGGCCAAAATGGAGTGCGCATGCGTGAAATAAGTAAATTGCCCTATCTTTTTTCCTCCTTTTTTGTTTCTCTCTCTCTCTTTCTCTCTCTCTCTATTTAAATAAGCGTTTCAATGTTTCACTTAAACATTTGTCTTTCAAGTATATGGTTCAGAGTAGAAATTTAGAAGGAAGTATTATGTGTATTTTCCATTTGATGAAATGTTGTGAGAAATCTCGAGAGATTGATTTAATTTTTGTGAAAAAGTAATAAAGTGAAAAAGTGAACAAAAGTAACACAGAAAATCGAACAAGAAAGATTTCTTTTTATTTATTATAAACTTTTATTTATTTTAAACTTATTTTTTACATGATTTATATATATGTATGTAAATTTCTTTTATATCAGTTTTCTCATATTTTCATAGATATATAATTACATAATATTTTTTTATACAAATATACATTTTTAAGTTAATTTAATATCTTTCCTAATTTTTCTATATTTTTTCTTTATTTTTCAATATATTTACAATTTATTTTTATTAATTTTCATAAAGTTTCAATTATTTCATTGCAATATTAGGTTTATTCTCATCGCATGCTCCAATATGCTCCAATATGTTCCTATAATAGCACTCACTTCAAAGAATTCATTGGATTGCGATGCGAATAAATCTAGCGAGTTTTGCAAGGAATTTTGACAAAGTGAAAAGAGAAAGAAGTTTAGATGGTAACTATGGCAACACTAGATAATTTACTTATTTCACGCATTTTGGCCAACTTCAAAGATGCCGACAGAGAATTGCGTTACTATATACTGTGTCAGTAAGATCTTCGCTCGTCTCGTAATACGATCATGGTAGAAGGTATAACATGGTGTGTGCAATTTGCAAGCATCTTTCTCTGAATCTGTGTCCTCTTTGTCTATGAATGTCGATAAAAGACTAATTGTAAGAGACTGCCAATTGTAACGCTAAAACTATATTAATAATAATGTTTTAAAATGCTAATACAATCCTCGGATTAACTTATGACATAAAGATTGTACTTAAAACAGTCTCTCGAATGCATCGACTATGAATACCAGTCTATTTCGCGTCGAAATTGGTACTGAATCTTTCCTTGCTTAACACACTTTATGTTTCTCTTTCTATAGGAAGTGTGTTTAGTACCAATTTCACGACACGAAGCAAGTCGGTATTTATAGTCAATCTTACATTTAAAACTGTCTTAAATATAGTTTTAAGATGTCATAAGTCAATCCGAGGATATGTATTAGCATCTTAAGGCATTATTTAAAACAGTCTAAAATAAAAACGAACTATGAATATCGCCCTATGTTTAGCATTTCACAATTGGCAAAATTGTCTCTTATCGAAATTCATAGACAGAAAGGGCGTAGATTCAGAAAAAGATGGTTGCAAATTGCATACACTATGTTATTCCTTTCACTATGAATACGGTACAGCTTGGTAATGCGAATTCCGGACCGCTTACAGCACTGTTATTAGCATGAAGAAAGTATAGACGAACATACAACGCATCCGCAAGTATACACTGATATGGATTCATCATAATGTATGTACCTTTTTATATTCCCTTCATGCTAGTAACCGTATTGCAAGCGGCCTAGAATTCGCATCACTGCTTGGTAGCCACTGATTACAACTTTGTTTGAGAGTGCAAGTGAGTTGCTCTCCTTCTCTTCGGACCCTATATTTCCCGCCGGATCTTGAACGCGAGTTTTCGCTAGACGCGCCAGCTCCCTGGGGATTGAGCTGCGGTACTCGTGCCTCGTCTCGCGCGCGCGCGCTGTGAGCAAGCTCGCGCACAACTGGTTATCGTGTGGATGGCGTTCCTATGCGACGTAAGGAACTATACTTAATAATATTAATATTTGTAGTGCCAGATCATGTTCCTGGACCTGGAGCATACTCTCCCGAATTGTGTCCACCAATGAATCACATTCGTAGAGTACCAGCTTATAGTATCAAGTCACGAGGTGTGATAAAATTTTTAGATGAAGGACCCGGACCAAATTCGTACCTTTTACCGACATGCATAGGACCCAAAGTGCCTGATAAACCTGCTCAGAGTGCATTTTCTATGTAAAAATGTGGATAGATCTGTTGTTATTTAATTGACAATTTTTAATTCATATTTTTTGCAATTTTCGCAATAGTTAATAAGATATTACTAAAAATTGCCAAATATTGATCTTGAATAATTTTTTATTCAAATACTATCAACTTACAGAAAAGTTACAAGAGACAAAAATCATTTATTTTCTTCTCAAAAAAAAGTTCTGAGAATTTTTTCAGAATTTTTAAATATGTTTTCATATTGATAAAAATAAGAAAATGCAGTACTAAAAAGTTGATAAAAAATTCTGAAAAAATTCTTAGAGTTCTATGAGAAGAAAATAAATGATTCTTGTCTCTTGTAGTTATTTTTCTGTAAAGTTGATAGTATTTGAGTAAAAAATTATTCAAAACCAATAATTGGCAATTTTTTATAATTAATATCTTGTTAACTATTGCGAAAATAGCTTTTCAGTTTAGTCCACTCTATCTACACAAAAGCGATTGGCAAAAATTTTTGAGATACCCTGTATATGTATGGATGTCCCAGAATGACGCCAAATATTCCATATTGTGTTGGTAGAGTGGAGTAAAAAGTCTTCTACTATTTTGCAATTTTTGCAACGATTAATGAGATATTCATTTATAAAATTAGCCAAATTCGACCTACCGCCGAAGCAAGCAGCGAAATAAGACAATTTTGTGAAAATTGCAAAATGGTAGAGGACTTTTCGATTCAATTTAGTTTCTGCTACTATTGCGAGAATTTTGTTGTTATCAAACACACTATATACATATTATATACATATGTATATATGCAGGGTGTTTCAGAATGATCGCCAAAATATTTTGCTGGTAGAGTGAACTAAACTGAGTCGATAGTAAATAAAAAATTATTAAAAACCAATATTCGGCGATTTTTAATAATTAATATCTTGTTAACTATTGTGAAAATTGCAAAATGAGGATGTTGATTTGATGTCGAAAGGATCAAATCGACGTCGATTCCAATATCATTTTTGACTGGCTGTTCCGCTTTACCAGCATACGAAATATTTGGCAGTCATTCTGGGATGCCCCGCATATATATGTGTGTGTATATATATATATAT